ATCCCTCACTTACAAATGGGGAATCTGAGGCACAAGCTTGCCTCTGCAGCCAGGTTGGGTGAGTTGGGCTGATGGGGCCAGCACTCCCCATTGGGATCACAGGTCCCACTTCCTTGCCCACAGGACCGTGACAAGCAAGAGCCGAGCAGTTCACAACACCAAAATCATTCCTTTGCAAGAGGAGTGGAAGAAGCCAGGGCTGGTGCTGGGCTACCAGGGACCAGAGCTGGGGCACTGGGGGACCAGGAGGAGGTGCCCATCTCAGTGTGTCCCCAGAAGGTTCACAAATGCCTTCACCCAGACAGAGTCAGGGTCAGGGCAGACTTGATGTTTCTTCCTGGTGATGAAGCTCGGAAGTGGGGAGGACCAGGAAACTTTTGTTGTGGGGAAGGCATACATCACCACAGAGCTGCACTAAGTCACACCAGGGCTGGGAAATGTCCTTTTTGTGACTGTTGCCTGGTATGGAGGCAGTCAGACAAGGGGAGGTGCTAAGACATCAGAGAAGGTCCCTAGGCCAGACTCCTGGCTCTGCCTCAACTTGCTGCTGGCAGAGAGAAGAACCACAGACCACAGTCCCAAGTGGCCACTGCAGAGAGTGTGGTTGGTGTCTCCTGGGGTGGATACCTTCTGGGCATTTCCAAACACCTCGCCTGGGAGCACTTTCTCAGCTGTGCTGGGGTGGCTGCACCCCACAGGGTACCAGGAACAACCTCTCATCCTCCCTCCACTGGGCTTATCCCAGTGTCAGCATGGGCAGATCCTTCTCAGACATCTCCTTGCAACTGGAAAGCATTTCTCCTTGCCAGGACTGAGTGATGGCCAATCCCACATAACACCCCAACAAGTCCCACTCTTGGTCCCAAGAGTGAGAAAGATTTGTGGGGCCAAGCCGAAGTCTTCTTGCACAGGCAAGATCCCATATCCACACAACAGCCGGCTGCTGGCACCTGTTGGTCATGTAGAAATAGTCCTTCACATGTTTCCTGAAAAGCTTCTGCCAAGTGCGTGTGAATCAATACACAGCTGTGTCAGGGACAGCTGAAAGAGATTTGGAATGCAGGGCTCAATACATATGACCAGGAGGGGTCACAACGTGGATGTGCATGACCAGCTAAGAATAAGCACTCCCAGCAAGCCATATTCCAGACCAAGGAGTCAGAGAAGGTCATGCCTGTTCCTCAGGCATTACAGGTCACCATCATGAGCTCTTCTTCCTCCAGGAGAGCAGAAAACAACCCAAAGACAGAGATGGATTCACCTGGAGCAGAGCAGGACTGGGAGCAGAGGGCAGCTACAAGGAGAGCAACAAGGTTCAACCAGAGGGACCATCATGATCCCGTCAGGAGCTAAGCAAACATACAGACCATGTTTGTGTTTAGCACTGATCCGTCCAGTCCCCACTTTCCACAGGGAATCACCAGTGATGGGACATATAAATGGGTGGGTTTAGGAGAAAGGCTTCTTGAGTGACGTGGAGCTGCAAGAACATGGCCAGTGTAGGTTAGAAAGACAGAACTCAAAGCGGCTGAGCAGTGAGGCCAAGCTCAAACCATCAGCATCAAAGAGCTGCAGGGAGAGGACATGTCAGGGTATACAACCCCTAATATAGCCAGTGTTTCAGCAACATTGGCTAGAAATAACCACAACTGTACTCCTCATGTTGAGACAAATGGCCGAGAGGAGCGAAAGGCGGTGAGAACTGCCCCGCAGGGGCTGATGGAGGGGGCAGCTACAGAATCGGGTTAGGAATGGGGGCCAGCAGGGAGGCAGTGCAGCCTTTGGAGCTGAAGGTCTGCATGGCTCACCTCCCTTCCCAGGGTCTCTCCCAGCTTCACTGGGAGAAAGGGATCAGCCACAGGGTTCATGGTCTCAAAAAGACCAGAGAGAACCAGGCTATCAGGTGCTTTGCCCATGGCACCATGTGGGTCTCCTGACCTTCTGGGAACCCTCTGCCACAACAGACAGTGAATAAAAATCCTGTGGTTCATGGGGTCCAGTAGAGTTGACCTGCCAGGCCCCCCCAGGAGCAGTTGGCCTTGGCTTTTGTCCACCTCTGCAAGCACATGAGAAGCTGATTGCTGAGCGATAGGCACCTTCCAGCAGGCAACTGGGGAGATAAAGTCTTCCCTTGTCTCTCCACTGGGCTCACATTTCTTTGGCTCAGATCTGGCTGGTGAACCACTTGGCCTTGATGAGTCCTGACTTGTGTCTTGAGACTTGATACCTGGCTCCAGGCTTATTTGTGCCCTGTGTCCTACATGCAGTCTCATGGTGGGGCCCATCCCAACTCACATCTCATTTTGCAGCACAGATGACCCTGAACTGCTTGCAGAGGAAAGAAACCTGCAAGAAAGAGAGTGTTGGGCTGTCAGAGTTGACATGGAGAAGGGTGTCAGGGCCAGGGACTCTTCTATAGCCAAGCCATTTGTTGCAGATTTCTGTGCAGCGGGCAAGAAAGGGCTCAAGACAAGACCATCGAGAGCGGCTGATGCATCCCCTGGATTCTGCAGTATCTCTCCCCACAGCAGCTCTCCTGGCTTGTCCAAGTGTCCCCTCCTGGCTGCCCTCCCCTGCTCAGAGCTGGCAGCAGACCAAAAGGCTGCAGCCAGGCTGATCCCTGCATGTTTGACCCCTGGAGCTGTGATTTCTCCTTTGCTCTTACAGACTCCCACCATGGTGCTGCCCCCCACCAACCCCATCTCCACGGATCAGCTTGGACATCCACGCAGTGCAAGCAGGCACAGGATCCCCGGGCTGGGCTGCCACAGCCCCCACTCAGAGACCTGCCCTCGTGAGGCCTGGCTGGTGCCAGGGGTGATGGGTCTGGGAAAGGGGGGAGCAGAGCCCCTGGAGCAGGCTGGCTTGGCTGCTGCTCCTAGAGTTTCAGGCAGGAAACCGAAACCAGAAAGGCTGGAGAGGGAGATTCCCACACATGCCCGGGCTCCCGGCCAGGGACTGTCCAGAGAAGAGCCGGCTGCAGCACCAAGTTCTCCAGCCTGTTTCCTGCACCCCGGGCTTGGGTCAAACCTCGTACCTGTCCCAGCCTTTCCCTTCACCATGATGTCCATCTTCCATCCCCTCACAGTGTGCAGAGCCCCAAATCAGAGACGGTTTTGGGCTCCTGCAGTTCCTCTGCAGCACCAAACTCAGCTTCTTGGCACAAAAGGCATCTGAGCATGCAGCAGGCATGGGGGGGTTGGGGTGCCCTCAGGGGGTAGAGGAGGCCCCAGCACCCCCTTTCCTGGCTCCTGGCCTGCCCACCACAGGCAGCAGCTCCTGTCCATCCACTCCACCATGCAGTGGCCACTCTCTGACCCTGTGTTTCATGGTGCAGTGGGGAACCCCTGCTCAGGATACACCTCTGCAGATTTTTGTCTCTCCCCTACAATGGTAAACCCTGGCCATAGAGTGGGACAAGATTTTTGCAAATACACTGACTCACCTTATCCCAGTTTGGACCTGACCCTCTCTGCTAGGATCCTGCTGTGCCAAGGGAGCAGAGGGACCCTGCCTGGTGAGTGAGAGCCTGTGTCTCCCCCAGATCATGCTCCCAACATAGTGGTCAGGACCCATCCCCATAGAGCTGGAGAGGACCCCTCCATTTGGTCCTCCATCACCAGAACCATCTCCTGGGACACAACACTGTGCCTGGGCTGGGTTTTCCCTTCACTGGGATGCTGCTCCTTGGGTGCCCCATGAGCCCTCCTCCCTGCAGCCAGCTTTCCAGCCTGGAAAACACAAGACTAGAGGGAAATCACAAGACAACGTGGAGGTGCTTTCCCAGCTTCAGAATTGCCAAGTCAGATCTATAGCTTCAGGAAAAAATGAAACAATAACAAAAGGCTTTTTTTGCATTAGGAAGAAGAAATACAGACTGGACCAGGATGGCTGCAAGGCCATGTTGTGGGGTCATTTCTTCTCAGTGTGCAGAAGCAGAGGAGTGCTGAACACTATTGCAATGGGCAAGTCATGCCCAGCACTGTGCTATTACTGTTGGGACCTGCTCCCTACCATTCACGTCCCCACGAAAATCCATGTCCTTGGAATGACTCCAGAAGGTTTACTGGTGGCTGTTTTACCCCTGCAGCATAGCTGAATCCTTCCCTTTGTTCTACAGGTGGGATAGTGGAGAACAAACCCCATTGGGGTTGATCAGAAAGAAAGCAGGGGTCCCTGCCCCTCTCCAGGCAGCACCGGCAGGACCCAGCTGCACAGTGAGGCTGGCAGGCAGAGATGTGGTGATGTCTCAGAGGAACAGATATGTATGAGGAGAGACAACACAGGAATGCTGACAGTGTGTGTGTGGGTGCCTGTGGGCTCTGTGCAGGGAAATACTGCTGCATAGCTGGCAGAAATGGCTAGGAGGGGTGGGCATGGGCAGGGAATTGGCCCTGCTCTGCACCCCAACACCCTCAGCATGAGGGACAATGAGCAGCTCATGAGCCCCGGGTACCTGCCAGCTCCCGCGTCAGCCCCAGCACTGCAGCCACTCCATGTCCTCTGCTTCCTCCCATCTGACCGTGAGAGGCTCTCCCTGCTCCCCCCACAAAGCCTCTGGCAGGATTTTACCCCTTACAGCAAAGTGTCCCGTCACCACCCCATTGCACACACAGCACACCCAGGCACCGCTTTGGGGTGTGGTGTGTGGGGCTGGGAGCGGCGAGCAAGCATATGGAATGTGCCTGGGGTGTGTGGAGAGCATACTCATGTATGTAAAAAAACCATATGTGCATACAAACATGTCTAATTCTGTAGAGATTTGGGGAGGCAGGGATATATGTGGTGGGGAAATGAGGTGTCAGTGGATATTTGTATTTGTGCAGTATAGAAACTTTATGGGTTTGCCTCAAGCCATTTCTCATCATCACATGCCATATAGAGTGTGTGGCTAGGCTCAGGGTGAGGTTCTGTCTCAGTGCTGGTGAACATATACAGAGGCACATAAAGGAAGAAAAGCAGAGGTTTTGTACAAATTCTTTATTCTCAAGTATCATGACTTCACATGTGTAAGCCAGGGCCACCCATCATCCAATGCTGAGATGCTGAGCCACCCTTCCATAAATACCTTCCCTTCCACCCGCCCATAAATAGCATTATTATCCACAGAAGAAAGTGCTGCCTATCCTATATGATAATTTCTGAAATTTTAAATGAAAATTTTAAATAATATAAAAACAATAGAGGTACAGTCCCATGGGCCTTCCCAGGCCACAGCAGAGGTGTCAGGGCAGAGGGATGAGGTTGCAGACTGGTCTGTGCAAGCCAAGGGCAAGTAGCAGCACCCCAACACGAGGTGTCTCGTGGTGTCCTTCCAGCAGTCCCCCGGAGCCTCCTGAAGATGTTGTGGGTTTATGAAGCTCCTGTTGCCCCAATGTTCTGCTCCATCACAGGAGCTCAGAATAATGCAACTCATGCCTGATAGCAGCTACGCTTGCCGCTTTCTTTACTCAGTTCTGCTTCAACATTTGTAGGTAACTTCGAACCCAGGTGTCACTGGGATTGGCACAGACCTGGCGGCCTTTCTTTGTGATGAACCTGTGGAACGGGGACGAGACACATTAGATCTCTGCTCAGACCTACATCCCAGGAGAGCCTGGATCCCAGCTTTGGGGCACTGCAATATCCCCCATTCCTACCCTTTTTCCACACTACCTCCTCACCTCCTGCAGGAACATCCCTGGGTGTCCCCACAAGAGCATTCTTGGCAGTCCCTGTGCACGCCCTTTCCCCTTGGGGTTCCCCTCACCCTGCTCTGTTCGTGCAGCCCCCCGTGCCCGCACCCACCCTGCAGAGCTCGTCACTCGCACACGCACACCCCGCAGCGACTGTCCCCGCGCTGCCCCAGCTGGTCTGCACCCAGGAGCCAACACTGGTACTCACACAATGGCCGGCAGCGTGCAACTGGTGCTGGTGCTATAGTGACGCAGGATGAGCTTCCACGGGAGCTTGTGGTGTGTGTAAGAGAAGCAGCAGATTGGGAGGTCGGATCCAACTGGAAGAGGCAAGAAGAGGCAATGTGAGCTGTGTGTCAGGAGCAGTGAGCCCGTCAGCTCAGGGAGCCATGCTAGCAGGGAAGGGAGTGAGGAATTTCAGAATAATTAAGGTTGAAATGGAAATTGGGGATCATCTGGTCCAATGCCAGGAACAGTATTGTCATGTACTGAGGGAGATTCCCACCCAGTCATTGCTCACAGCTTTGTTTCCCCACCTCCCCCAGACCCAGGGCAGAGACTGAAGTCTCTAAACTATAACCAAGAATAAGTACTCTGAGCCCAGGATGATGGATGGATGGATGGATGGATGGATGGATGGATGGATGGATGGATGGATGGATGGATGGATGGATGGATGGATGGATGGATGGATGGATGGATGGATGATGATGGCTAGATGGGGGTCTAATTCTGGGGTTCCTACATGTAGCTGATCTCAGTGCAGAGCAGAGAGTGGTACAAATGCTGAAAAATTCCCAGTTATCTGCCAGGGGACCTCAATGGAGAAATGATAACAAAGGCTCAGATCTGTTCTTCCTTCACAAATGAAAAAGCAGGACTCACCTGGGCCAGAGAGAGTTTGGGAGCAAGAGGCTGCAATGATAAGAACAAAAATGACTGCAGAGACCTTCATCTTCCCGACGGGTGAGGGCAGTCAGAGCAGCACCAGAAGCTCCAGCAGACGCGACTCCAACTGCTGCAGCTGGATTCAGCTCCCTTTTAATAGGGAGTCCTGGAGGCAGCAGGGAGAAGCCCAAGTGGAAATTCCAGAATGATGACAGAGGATGTCACGAAAGTGAAATAGCTGAAGGGAATTTGTAAAAAAAAAAAAAAAAAAAAAAAAAAATCGGAAAGAATGGGATATGGTTCACATTGGAGCCAAGTATGTTGAGCAATGACTTGGTGCTCATTTTCGATTTGATCAAATCAAAACGAAACCAAAATGTGCCAAGTGGCATAGCCACAAAGAGAAGAACTCTTTATCTGAACTATGGGAGGGATTTTCCCTGTCAGTCTGCATAGCAAAAGATACAGTGTTTGTCTAAGATTATGCAACTCTGGAAAAACAAACCAGGCAGGCTCCAAAGCACTCTTGTGCTGTTCTGTGACTGGTGCTTATCAAAGGTTGCTAAACTGCAGCACGTGAAGCTGAGAGGTGGCTGGACAGCAGGCTCTGTGTTACCCAAAGCACTCTGCTCCCCCCCAGTCCCACAGTGTTTGATTTCATGTGGACCATGGAGGAGCTGATGCTGGAGGCACCCCTGGAGATTGTCCAGTCCCTGCTCAAAGCAGTCAGCTGGGAAGGCTTCCCAGGACTGTGTCCAGATGGGCTCTGAATATCTCCAGGGAGGGAGATTCCATAACTTCACTAGGCAACCTGTTTCAGGGCTCAGTAATAAAGTTTTATCTGGTGTTTAAATAGAATTTCCCATTGCTTCTTGTCCTGTCACTGGCCACCACTGCAAAGAGTCAGGCTCCATCTACTTTGCACCCCACACACATTGATGAGATCCCCCTGAGTCTCCTCTTCTCCAGGACGAGCAATTCCAGCCCTCTCAGCCTCTCCTCATAGGAGACATGCTCCTGTCCCTTAATCATCTTCGTGGCCCTTTGCTGGACTCTCTCCAGTATGTCTATATGTCTCTCACACTGGGGACCCCAGAACTGGACCCGACACTCCAGGAGTGGCCTCACCAGTGCTGAGCAGAGGGGAAGGGTCACCTCCCTTCACCTGCTGGAAATGCTCCTCCCAATGCAGCCCGGGAGCCTGTTGGCCTTCTCTGTGGCAAGGGCACATTGCCATTCATGTCCGGCTTGGTGTCCACCAGGAGCCCAGGGTCCTTTTGTGCCAAACTGCTTTCCAGCTGTTCAACACCAGCATATACTGGTGCCTGGGAGTGTTGACCTTCCACTTCTTCTTGTTGAACTTCATGAGGTTGTTTTCAGCCCATTTCTCCAGCCTGACGAGGTTCCTCTGGATGGCAGCACATCCCTCTGGTGTGTCAGCCACTTCTCCCAGCCTTGTGTCATCATCAAACTTGATGGGAGTGTACTTTGTCCCATCATCCAGGTCATTAAGATATTAAACCGTACTAGCCCCAGTGCCAATCCCTCTGGTTCTCCACTTACGACTGACCTCCAGCTGGACTTTGTGCCATGGGTCCCAACCCTCCAAGCCCAGCCATTCAGCCACTTCTCAGTCCTTCTCACTGCCATTTATCTAATCCATTCTTCATCAGTTTGCCTATGAGGACGGTATGGGAGCCTTACTAAAGTCAAAATAAGCAACACTCACTCATCCCTCTGCTCTCATCTACCTGGCCAGCCATCTATCTTTGAAGGTTACCAGATTGGTGAGGCAACTGACTGCTCACAGTCACCGTAACAGTCACAGGCCTCCACAAAACAATCAAATGACAAGATCTCACCCTGCTTCGGAGGGTCTTTGCAGACAGGAGGGTCTTTTGCCACCCCCAACCTCAGCCTCCAGGAGAGTGAGGAGTTTGCTGGAAGACATGGTTTGCCACACCTGAGACATTTTTTCAGCCTGAACTTCTTCCTCCAAAAGCTCTCTTGAGTACAAGATGGATTTTCTGGCCAAAAAGATGATAAATGAGTGGTGGAGAACCTGCCTGGCATGGGAGAGACTTTCAGGGGCAGCTGAGCTGGGGCTTCCTGTCGTCCTGCCACAGCCTGTAGGTGCAGCTGGAGTCAAACCCCCCTCCACTGCAGAGACGATGCTCAGGCTTGTGAGTGGGCTCCTAGGCCTGGATTTTCATCCCCAGAAGTACAAATCCTCTGCTTGGCTACCCCAAATCCTCTGCTTGGCTACCCTGGGTGGAGGCACCATCCTTCACAAATTGACTCATCTCTGGCAGGGACAGAAATAAGGCTCAAGGCCCCTGCCATAGGTAATGATCTGCTCCTCCCCACACTTACTCCCCAGGAAGGATCTCTTTTGCACTCCTGCTTCCCTGCATGGTCTTATCCTGTGCTACAGCCCAAGACACTGGTGCTGTCGGCTGTGACAGGCTGCAGGCTCACCCTGCAACTGGGCAGAGACATCACCAGACCAGCCGAGGGTATGCTTTATTTTATTTACTTACCCATGTAAGTCCTGACATGGGTATCAGGGAAGGTGTTAGATTTTGCCGGATTCATAGCAAGTATTGACACGACCAGCTCTGCTTTCTCTGGGTAATTCGGAGCAGCTCTTGGCAGAGTTCCACAGCAGAACAAGAAGTGGCCCTTAGCTTTCAGCTGAATTCCTGCAGAGCAAAACCAAATTACGACTTTTTGCCATGGAAATAAATCATGCAGAAACCAACAGTCGGAGTTTTATGTTCCTCTGTGCTTGCAACTCACATGTTAGCGTGTGCATGGAGAAATGACAGAGGGCGGCCGCCAGTGATGCATTGCTGGGTGAGAAAGGTTGTGGCTGCAGAGAGACAGCTTTGTGGCTAACACCAGCTTTGCTCATGGAAACTTCATAGCTGCTGCTCTCCAGCCTGCCGCCTGCAAGGAAGGGCCGGCGGTGCGTGCGGTGCCATCACGCTGCAGGGAGAACCAGGGGTAATGGGGAGGTGTGATGGGGGTGCGATGCGACCTGCATCCCACAGCTCTGTCCTCCATCTGGAAGCCCTGAGATGGTCAGTGGAAGGAAAGGAGCCGTCACTTACTGCTAATGAATTTGACCGAGTCGGAGGAGGAGGGTCTGCTATGAGCTGCTGCAGCTGCAGTCTCTTGGTTGTGTCATCGCACAAATTGATTAACGCTTGCAAAACTGTGCTTTGTCATCTGTGATGCTGTCTCCCGTGGTGTGCTGAGAAGCGTCCTGGAAGAGGGGCACCTCTCCCTCCCCAGCCGCTCCTCTGCACTGCTGACCCCCTGCCACAGGGCTCTGGCTTCGAGTCACTGGCTGCAGTCGTGGCTGCAACCCCGGCTGTGCGCTCCTGCCACGCTGCTCCCAGAGCAATTCACCCTCCCTGGCTTCCAAGGCCAGCTTCTGTTTTCAGTTTTCTGTTTCTGTACACTGATTTTTGCTTCTCTGTCAAATCCCAGAGCCCTCTGCTACCACAGTTCCTGCAATTTAAGTATTTATAAGCTGACCTCTCTCAAGCTTCCTTTACTATTTCTGGAAAGAAGCCATTTTCTGTCCTTCTAGCCTCACCCAGACTGGACCGTGAGATTTGTTTGGGTGCAGTCCGGGTAGAAAAAGAAAGCTAAAATTACTCAAAGAGGAAGACTGTAGGGAAGGATGTTATAGCGGGTGCTGAGTCTTCATCCCCTGTGATATGTGGTGACAAAGCCCATGGGCTCTGGGACTCCTTCAAGGCCCCCTGAAATCCTACCCTCGCCAAGAGCCACCCCCAGGCCGGAGAGATAGAGGGAACTTTGCTTGTGGGTGATGGTGGGGGCTGTCCCAGGCTGATGGGGAAGCTGTGTCTGCCTTCCCCTGGGGGTACAGCTCACCCGTGGGTGCCTCAGCCTTGCACCGGGGCACCATCAGAAGGACCTTGGAGCAGGTAAAGGGATATTCTTGTCTCTGTCACTCCTGCTAGCCATTTGATCCTCTTGCTCACAAGCAGATGCAAGCTCTAAGGCGTGGGGTGCTCCTTTTGGGAGACGCTGGTGGCTTCACCTGGGGCAGAGTTTCCGTGTCCTGGGTGTCGGAGCTTTGTCCCTCTGCTCTCAGCCTGGGGCAAAAGCGATCCCTGACCAAGGCCAGCTCCACCTCCACTCCCACTCAGAAACGTTCCCAGCAAGTCCCACCTGCAGCTGCACCTCTCTGCATGGTCCCCAAGGGGTGCAGGAGGCCGCACGGGGAGGCTGCGGAGCCGAGGCATGCCGACGGGCTCCCTCAGCCCTCCCTTCTTCCCAGGGGATCTGGGTGCCAGGCAGAGCCTGCGCTGGCCACACAATGGCCCTTTTGAAGGGCACAAGCCCATCTGGGGTGGCAAAAGACTCAGCATCAGAGGGAGCGGGATGAGACCTGCGCTTCAGAGACACACTGCAGGGCACCCTAACCTACAAACAGTCCCCACACACGGGAAGTGGTTTGCAGCCTTGCAACGAGCCCAAAATAGATCGTGAGGCTAGTAAACATGTGAGCTCCGCTATCAGCCTCCGTGCATGACCACTGCAGCTGGAAAGCTCGCACCTCCCATGGGGTTTCCTACCCCCTGTCAGTACTGGGAGGGGGGGTGGACACACCAACACCAGCCACATCTCTGCCAGCGTGCTGCAAAAGGAGGGACCAAGCCAGCGCTAGTGGACACGGGGTCTTCAGGAGGTCTGAGGGCCATGCATTAGGGAGGTCCTCCAGCTGTGGCAATGTCCCTGACACAAGCTGAAAGGTTAACCCTGGTCTCACCCCCCTCTGTGAGCAGGGGAAGCTCATGATGCTCAACCATCCCCAAAGAACTCGTGGAGCGCAGCCAGCCACCCCCTTCTCTGTGGCCCGCTCACAGCCAGCCCACCCGATCCTCCCGGAGAGCTGGGCTCTGGGACCCCTAATCAAAATGAAAACAATCAATTTGTGACTTAGTTATTTTCCTTTTTGCTTGGTTGTGATGAGCACACAAGGCCCAGTGAGTTTATTTATAAACTGGTTTTGGTTTTCATCTCAGCAGAGCTCTGAATTTTCAGCCTGGTCTTTCTTGCTCTTCCTGGAGGACTCATCAAAGGTCTGAGTGAGGTGGGCAGCCCCTGGGGGCAGGGGATACAGCCCCAGCAGAGAGATTTCGTCTGGTCCTCCTAGGCATTTGCAGGGTTTCAGGGATGCTGAGGGGCGTGGGTCGAGTGTGCCCCAGCCCCTGGAGCCGGGAGTTGGGGTGACCCAGGAGCACAGCCCCACAACCACTTCCCAAAATCTCAAAAATTGCTAAACCTCAAGTTTTCCCTGTTTTCTTCTTTTCTTTCATGCCAAGGATGGAAAAGGGTTTAGAACAAAGCGGGGGGGGGGGGGGGGGGGGGGGGGTGTGTGTGTGTTTCACTTTAATTTGCTTTGAAATACTATAAACTTCACCCTCTTTGGTTTGTTCTGTTTCAGAAGAAAGGCCAGGAAAAATTTGAGACATATACCACTAGAAATTGACAGCATGCCCCAGGTTGGTTTTTATTTTCAGAAAATGTCCTTACTGGAGGAAGATTGAATCTTTAATGAGATACATTTTTCTTATCATCTACAAATATCTTCCTGGCATGATATGATTTGGAGGAAACGTGAGGGGGTCTCTTGTGCAACGTGGCCCAGCTGGGATGGCCATGCTCTCCCCTTTACTCACTGTAGTGGAGACAGATAATTCCCAGTCACTCCCACAGCCCCAGGCTCCCACTGGAGTCAATTCCAGGACATGATGTCATCTCAAAAATTCCAACATTTCTCCAGAAATGTCAAGAATAGTGTGGGCAAAATTTCTGGACACTGATGGAAAGTCACCGGTGCCGGTGCAGGCAGGGCAGGATGGAGGCCACTGCAGGTGGAAGCAAAGCTTGTCCTAGAGATGGTTTCTGAACTTAGGACACTTTTAAACACTTCCTTTTCTGCTCGAATCCTGACTCCTCAGCTCACTCTTAAAACCTGCTATAAATAGCAACTTACATCAGCCAGTCTCACCATTTTTTTTCAGGGTTCCCCTTTTATTCAAGATCAAGAATTTCCCTATTTTGGCTATCACCAAATTTATTTTGGACATTTGCTTTACTTAGCACTTTCTCCTGGGTTTTTGTGGGGGTTTGCAGAAAGCCTCTGTCATATCCCTCTATGTAAATTGGCGCAACATCAGCCAGACTGCTTCGGACAGCCCGTCCTGCTGGCTCCAAGCACTGCCTGCCGGTGCTGGGGACAACGGGAGACCACAGGCTGGGTCATGGATCCTGAAACCAGCTGGAGCCACGGTGCAAAAGCTTCCACCTTACACCACTTTTTTTTGCTGTACTATGAACATAATTCCCCCTGAGGTGCTCCATCCTGCTTTTCTGTGGCCATCTCTCCATCTGGGAGTACCTCCCAGGTCCTTCATCTGAGACACAGAGCTTCACTTCTTTCTAAAAGTGGTAAGAGCTAGAAGAAATTACTTTTTCATTTCATCATGACTGGAATGCAGGGGAGTGGGTAAGGAAACATTTTTTAGGAGCATGTTGCAACATCTCAGGACATCACTGATGACTGTAGCCTCCCTCCTCCAGTTTGCAAAAAGATGGCAGAGTGGGGTCTTCTGTCAGATTTCTAAGGAAAAAACAGACCCCTGGGAAGCAAACACCCTGATTTTGGGCTTATTTTTGGCTTTCTGCAGTAGAAAAGTTTCAGTCCTTTTTTGGCCCCTGTAACACACATCATCTAGTCTAAACTGATCCTAAACTGACTCAGCTAAACTGAGAAAAGTTTTTTTGATTAATTAAAAAATGTTCCCTGACAGTCCAGAATAATTTGGCATCTGCTTGCCAACGAAGGTATAAAGGCATGGAGGTTTTCAGCTGCCTGAAACAGAAAAATATCTAATTGAAAACATGTGAATAATTAATACAGATCTCCAACTAATATTTCTGGTTTAATGAAACTTGTTTTTTATCAGAACATTTTTGCACCATAAATGGCATTTCTCCTGCCTGCCCTACCCACATTGTGTGCCTCGGGAGCAGGACAGGACCAGATGGCTGTAGGTGGCAGATCAAGACATGACCCATGCATGTTTGAAGGTGCAATCACAGGGAACAGCTCAGAGGCAGACCACGCTCTTATGTACGTTTACAAGTTATATTCCCTCAGCAACCAGACAGAGGAGCCAAGTGAGCCGACGCTAGCTCAGACCTGATTTCTGGTCCAGCTGGTGTCCGGCTGAAAGCCAGGTTCCCACCTCCTGCCTGGGTGGGTGCCCTGCCTGCGGTGGCAGGCTCTCTCCTCATCCTCTCAGGATATTTGGGGACAAGCAAGTTGACAAGCAGAGGAGGGAGTGAGGTCTGACCTGATGAGTGAACCCGTGAGGTGCTTCTCTCTGCAAATGGCAAAGGGAAGGATGGAGAGGGGACCAGATGGCCATGGTGTGGCCAGGAAGGAGGTGATGCTCAGCCCGGCAAGGGTCACACTGGCTCTGTGGGGTAGGTCTGCCCTCCCCAGCCAGGCTGAGGGGCAGGCACACCACCACGGCTCCCAGCAGGAGCCTCCTTGAGGGTGGGCCACCTCTGGGACTTCTCCTGTGCAAGTCCAGGATCAGGTTGTCCTCCGGGCCCCTCTGCCCGTATGGAGCAGAGCAGTTCACCTCCGTGGAGCTAACCTGCCACAGCTGGTGGAGGGTCGTGGGCTGCCCTGCCTCCCCTTCCACCAGCCACAGCTGGGGGAGGGATGCGCACACCATGCGACGTTGGAGTGATATTTGGAAAACACCAGGTTATTTACAGAAGGTGTCTGGGTCAGTAGCTGGGTCCCTTTAATAGAAGCACAGTGAGTCAGCACCCAGTGCTGCGGCACGAGTGCAGAGGTGCTGGTGGTGCGGTTGGGTCGCTCCGCTTTACGTTAAAGTCCTTCTACTGACTTTCAGGCAGCATTTGCCAAGACATCACCACTTGATGATGTCTTTGAAAATAATGAAATGGAGACATTTCCCAGAAATGTGTCTGCATCCCTGTTGAGAAGAGATGTCCTTCTAGGAACAGCCCATTACAGCTGGACAATCCCCAGCTCTTCCCAGAACATCCCTTCACTCTTCTCCTCAGGGACAGAGAGGAGTTTGGTAGACCTCCATGGCAGTCCATGTGTAGGCTGGTGGCTTCCTCCCAGTGAACAGTCCCTAGTTGCAGCCCTTGCCCAGGCCTCAAGGAGCTGCGAGCTCTTACTTTCTCCCATAAAATGTGGTCATTCCTCCTTGTCTGTGGTCATTATAATTTTCTCCCTTCTACTCTTTTCTTTCCAGACATCCCAGTTTCTGCCCATGCCCTCACGCCCCAGTTAATCTGTTCCTGGTCTTCATAAGTGGTGCCTTCTTCCTCACTCTGCTCCTGGAGCTCCTTCTGCCTCATCTTCAGTATCGCAGTCAAAGTCTCCAAACTTTCTTTGGCTCTGCATCTCCATGCTTAGCAATGATAGGCCTCACCTATCAACAGCCCTTGAAATTTAACTGTCTAATCTAAATAGGTCATTTAGTGTCTCTTCAGGACCTGGAGTGTAGCAGGATCCTCCAGGAGATAACACCCCATCTCAGATCTCCTTTCCCTTAAACTGAGGAAACTCAAGTGCTTCAGATTCTGGGACTCTTATTTCATGCCCACTGCTACCAGTGCTGGTGCCCACAGTGTTGTCACGGCTGCAGGACGTGCTCTGAGTCCCCTCAAACTACGTGAAGCACGTACAGGGTATGGAGCCCACTGGTGATGGCTCCCATCGTCTGCTACTGGGGCAACATGGGCTGTACAGATGTGGGAAGAAAACAGTCCATGGTAGAGGAGACGTCAGACCCTTTTTCCCTAACCAGCCTCATCCCATTTATGCTCCTCAGCCCATCTGCACAGCTCTTGGAACGCTGGATTTTCTTGGGCAAGTTGGGTAATAGGGGCCTGTTGACAAATGCAGGAACCTCCACAGGGGAAGTTCTTACTGAGGGACATGCATGAAAGAAGCAGAAATAGCAATGGTGATTGTTTCATATCCTGTGTCTCTGGGGAGTCACTGAATCGAGGGGGGAGCTTCTCCCTTCCGGGGCTGGGGCTGCTGCTCTGTTCCACCACGAAACTGCACCACGAACGGTCTCTCCTCTGGGGGAAATTCCACCATGCCTACGCAAGCTGCTGCATGGAACTCCTCACCCCATAAATTGAGGAGCTACCCACTGTCTCAGCATCAGACAGAAAAGAAGCTTTCAAGCTCCACTTGCCTGCTTCAGCTCCAGCCACCACTTCTCAGCTGACATGAAGATCTCCATGGCTGCCCTCGCCATTCTCATTGCCACCTTCTGCTACCAGACCTCCGCTGCACCGAGTAAGTCCAGATTCTCTCCCTTCTCTCTAAATGGGGACAAGAGAGATGTCCCTGCTGATACAGAGTCCCTTCTGCCAGCTCTTCCACCCCTGGGACCCTTCCCATGTCAGATCACCCTCTGGCAGATGCTCCAGGGCTGTTGGGGCTCTCCTGCCATGAGAAAGCCATACCTCAAAGCACAGCATGGGCTGTCTCACTGCCAGCTCGGGGTGAACCCAAAAGAGAAAGAATTGAAGGAAAAAGAAAACAGACCTTGTCTTTTCTGTTCCTCCACATCCTCCCCGCTGCCCAGACCCCGGGGTCTGCAGTCCCAGCTCCCTGCCCCTGCTCCCCATCCCCTGCCACAGCTGACAACCATCTTTGCCCTTCACAGTTGGCTCTGACCCACCAACCTCCTGCTGCTTCACCTACACCTCCCGGCAGCTGCCCCGCAGCTTCGTGGTGGAGTACTACGAGACCAACAGCCAGTGCTCCCAGCCGGCCGTCGTGTAAGTCCTCTCCTCCAGGATTTCTGTTTGGGCTGAGGATCCAGAGAGGGAAAGACCCCTCTTCAAAAGACAGGGGATGGAGGCTGACCCCCGAGAGGGGGAGGGATGGGGGGACAAGAGGTGCAAGGTGGTGCTCCATGGACACAGGGGGCTCTCACCAGTCCTGCTCCACCATTTTGCAAACTAACTGGTGGCTGCTCGATAGGACGGGCATGGCATGATGCTGCCTGCCCAAATTCTGCTGATCCTCAGGAGGTGTTGGGTTTGGGGCAGGGCTCCTCTCCACGCAGCGCTCTCCAAAAACTTACCTCTATGTGCCCCCCAGGTTTGTCACGAAGAAGGGCCGCGAAGTCTGCGCCAACCCTGAGCAGGACTGGGTCCAGCAGTATGTGAACGAGCTGGAGCTGGACTGAGGTCCCAGGAGAGACCCTGCCACCCTGCGTCCCCGGGCTGCCGGGACCAGCGAGCCACATCTGGCTGCGGGCTGTCAGAAATGCTTCAACGTCATTTAAAGCTAGCTGAGAAATTGAAAATGTTCCAGAACCTGACTTCAGTGGTTCACTATTTAATTTTTTATAGGGGAGGGATCAGGTGCAATAACTTCACTCCAAACAAATAAGAATATTATTTAATAGATATATTTTTTTTAAATGAAGACTCATGCTCAGGTTATACTTTCTGTATTTAATTAACTGTATTTTTGATGTAATATTTAATTCAAATTTTGAGAAATAAATATTTTTGTAAGAACTTTCTGTCTTTGCCTCTATTACAATTATTTGCGATGAAAATATCCGAAATTATAATAGTGGCAACATGTTCTTTATTCCCTTTTCTATGCTGCCAAAATCCCCACAAGCTTTCCATATCTGAATGTCCTGTTTTGAAAAATAAAAAGAGAAAAAACATGAAGGAGGAGGTGTGAGAAGGGCATAGATTACGTTCAGGTAGCTTGGCTCACTCTTCCTATAAGGTATTTAATCACTACTCATTATGGCAGCTAGTTAAATTCCATCGCTGGCCCTATTACAGTCCATTACAATGTTAGCTTTAGGGGTTGCAGTTTAACATGCTGGCTGTTTCAGGGAAGGTTTTCTGAGAGCTGCAGCTAAAATGGATCAGCTATTCCCAGAGCTGAGGATGGAAAAAATATGTTTCACTACAAGATCTTTAGAATTATTTCCTTAAAGTCTCATTTATCTGGGACGTGAGACTTAGCAGATGTGTCCCTCTTATAAGAAAAGGTGCTTTTTCTCTGTGCCTCCAAAACCTGCCCATCTCTGGAGATGCCTGTCCAGAGAATGCAGTGTACCCCTGCAGTCGCCCAGCCAGACCCCAGCCCCAGGGCAGGATCTGCCCCACAAAGAGGTATCTCCACTGCAGCCCTGGGGCTGATCTCCCACTGGAGCTGAAAGTGATGGAGACAACACCATTGGTGGCTTTTAGGTTGCTCTGATCAGCTCTGGACACGCGCTGTTGGATGAACAACAAGGGTTTGGGTTCCTCCTGCCTGGACCTCGGGTGACTATAGGGCAGCCCGACGAAGAAGGCTCAGGTCGGAGACCTGCCTGCACTCAGCTCACCCCACAGTGTCTACATACTGAATTTGGGAGGACAAACATGAACATCAGTGAGACAGAGGGGAGCAGAGGGGGGGGGGGGCTCCTGGGGAGTGATGAAGACAAGCAGACACAGGGCAGGCGCTTGGTGGGAGCCGTGCGGTGAGGGGAGCCTCAGGTGGGGCTGGAAGGGACCAGGGGGACGTGGGTGTGTTCGGGGGAGGAAGAAGCATGTCGGTTATGTCAGAGGCCTCATCACTTCAGGAACAGCAGCCACCAGTTCCTCAGCCCACAGACAGCATGCACTCCCTCAGTCATCTCGCTACAGCGCTGACTGCATCCAGCTTAAAATAGCATCTGGGGAGGAGGGGGGTGAAAGGGAGACCTGAGCCAGTGAGCAGGACCCCGAGATGCTGCTGGGAGGGAGCCCACGGCTGGGAGGCTTGGGTGGCCATCACCGTGAAGGAATTTGTGCCCTGGTGACAAGGAGCTGCTCCCGCAGGTGAGGGCAGTGGCTTTGGTCACAGCCCTGGCCCCCCCAGGCCCTGGGGCCAGCACCGGGAGCAGGGCTCCTCATGGCCACGCTGGAGGGGAGGACACCTTGGCTGTTGGGTACCAGCTAGCCCCGTATCTGGGTGCTGGAGCCTGGTAGCTTCACCCTGAGGACTAAGACTGGCACAAAGTTGGGTGCCCAGAGCTGCCCGTGCTTGAGGGAACAGCAGGAGCAGGGAACATGAGGGGCGAGACCTGCAACAGGGTCATCCCAAAATGTCTTGAGCCTCCACAGTCCCTCTCGGACCCAAGCCCCATCTGTCCCTGTGGCACTGGGAGCAGTCCCACAGCCTTGGGGTTTCTTGTCGAAGGACACAAAGTGCAGGGTCATCCAGGGAGCACCATCCAACCCATGCACTCTTTGAGCCTGTTGCAAACAACTCCCTGTGCCAACATCCTTAACCACCCGGGTCACATTCAAGCCACCCACAGCAGACACCTCTCCTGGGAACCTCAGCTAACTCCTCACCACTTCTTGGAGGGAGTCCTGAATTGCTCATGTCTTTCTTAATCTTACACCCACCTACGTGTGACAGCTCAGAGGAGCCCTCAAAGTGCATGCGAGGAACACAGCCCGCTTGTGAATCCACACCCCCAGGCTCAGAGGTGTGAATGAAGCCTGCAGGAGCAAGACAAAGGCAGCCAGCAGCTTTCAGCAAGCTGGAAGCTGCCTCCAAGGTCTGCAAACAGCAGCGTGCACATGGCAAAGGCATCCCTGGTGATCTTCAGAGCCACCACATTTTGCAAAAGAGGAAGAGGAGGAGTGCAGGAAGGTGGGCCAGAGCAGGGACAGGCAGGGGCTGCAGTACCCATGTTGCCATTAGCTTAAATCTGCACCTGGGGATTACCCTGCCCAGAGCAGGGAATATATTTGCCGTACGCATTGATGCAGCTATATAAGGCTGACCTTGCTGCTAGAGCTGAGTGATGGAAGAAAAACCTCACAGCGTGCAGCCCTTGGAGGAGCCCCGGGGTGTGCTGGTGCTCATAGACGGGTGTCATGAGCTAATCGTGATGCTCATCCCTCCCAGAAACATCCTCACAGGGTGCTCAGGGAGCACCCACTGGAAATGGGGCAGGTGAATGCAAGAAGCAGAGGGCACTAAGCCCAAGGCAGCAGATGAAGAGAAAGGCGAGCTGGAACACGAGAGGAGGGTGGCTGACAGGAGATTTCCTCTGGATTCAGACCAAGACAAGAGCAATGGTGTCCAGGGTTTCAGAATTTGTAAACTACTAAAAGAGAGACTCATCCTGAAACTAGAGTGTGGTACTTACTGAGTATTTTGCGCAATGTATAAAAGTAAATATTTTAAATTAAAACCCTGGGAAAGCCTGGATGTGAACAAAAAATAAATCGTTACTATGATAAGAAAAAGATCATTATTATAATACACATGCACATCTTTATATATTTGTTGTGTCCATAGGCATTTTGAGGTATAAGGACAGTCAGGGGAGTTGGGGGTTGGAGTCTGGAATTGTACAGAAGGAGAAGCTGAGCTGTGCTGGTGGAGATACAGATTGATGGCGATCAAGGTTCATGGGCTGACAGCTTTTATACCTCCACTTTTTTAGAAACCCCGAAGGCAAAATGCCTGTGCACTCAGAAGTGCCAGCTCTGTGCCTTCCTTGCCATGCCAGGGATCAAGGCCCTGCCTCGCTGCAGGGAGGCGAGGCCCAGTCCTCCATCCAAAACAGCTCTTCCCAGAGTCACCAAGATGGGGAGCATGTCTCTTCTGGGTGGCCAGCATCCAAAAAAGGCATGTAAAAGTGGACAGTATTGCAGGTTGCACACAAAAGTAATATTTTCCTAAAGCAGCAATATATCCCAGACTTCCAGGGCTGAGAAAGACAGCAATGGTGCCTGGGTATCACCTTCCCTGTAATGTCCAACAGAAGGCAGAAGTGGTGATGAAGACCCAAAAGAACATTTCTGGTCAGTTCTTAGAAAGACTCGGACGACTACTCACATCCCACTCAGATGATGAAGCATTTTCCATTGTACTAGAAGAGAAATAAAGATGTTAACATTTGTTAAGAAAGCACATTTCTAAATCTGCATGTCTGTAAATTTTGCTGTGGAGAATCTTAACAGGGGACACTGTCAGTGCCTCTGGGTGACCAAACTGCCCCAGGAGCCAAAGCTTAAAAATGTGACATTAATCTACTGAGTGCTCAGAAAAACACCTCCCTGATCACCCAACCCCAACCCATGGCTGTTCTGCTAGACATGGTATCCCGAGCGATTACTGCCTTCAGTAAAACCAGACACCCTGAGCAGATCAGTCCTGGGACCCACCACAGCAAGAGACTGTCTCGACTCACAACGTCCTTGCAAAATTTATCTATATGCCCATCTTCCTTCAGAAGAAGGAAAACAAATGGAAATGGTGTGACTGTGGCACAGACAGGTCAACCCGCTTGGTAATAAATAACTTCATGCCACCGTGTGAGAGTCCCCAGCTTGCTTGGCTCTGGGGAGCAGGAGCAGTTGTGGGGAGCCCCACATGCTCGGGTTGGACCACGCTGTGCCGTGCAGCCATCCCTCGGGGCTGAGGCAGGTGGTCTGGGCAGGACCTGGCCCTTTGCTGGGCAGGATCTGCAACGGAGGCCAGAGCCAGGCCATGAATGCATTGCCACCGAGGGCGGGGGCAAGTTCAACTTGTCGTGACTTAAACAGAAAACTTGCTTGCAAAAAGCTTTAGGAACAGCTTTAGCTTTAAGTCAGCAGGGAATTCTAAAAGCCAGGTCCCAGTGCTCCTGGATTTTCTCCAGCTGCCCACTGCCAACCAGTCTGGGCATCTCCGGGCAGCTTCACAGTCGCAGGTGACGCGAAGAGTCCACCACATGGAAAATTTTATAGCATATTCAGAGCTATCTCATGCCTTCAACCTTCACTCTCTTCTTGGGAGGGGCAGATTCATGATTTCTAGGAACACTTTGGATGCCACATCAGGGTGAGTTCACACCCTTTCTATTCATTAATTTCTTCCCCCTGTTTGCAAGATCTCCGAACTGTTGCACTTCCTCCCACCTCTTCTGGAAACACTCTTCATCCCTCCGGCACCGCAGCAAGTGCCACTCATCTGTTACCTTGCCACGGTCAAGTTACTCTTGCTTTTTGGACAGTTTCCATCCCACCACCTCCTCCCACCCTTGGTTCAGTGACATTTACCCTGGTCCCTTTCCAACTGTCAGCCTGCACAACAGGTTTCCCTGGCTGTCCTCACCACTCCCAGCCCCACAGCTGCTTCTGTTTCCAGCCTTCTGTTAAGACCTCAAAGTTCACGTCCTTTCTTATCGTCTCAGGCTCCATAAACTCTCCCTGTAAGAGAGGACAGTGGAACGCCCCAAAATGCAATAAAACTCAGCCGAGAGGAACTGCTATCTCAGGTCCAGCATAATTTTTCACCATGAGACTCCTAAAGCACCATCCAGGACACCCCCAGAGAAATTGTGCCCAGCATTTAAGACTGTGTTTTATCAAATCTCATTTTACTTTAATTTAATCTGTCTTTAAATTAAGAAGTTTCATTATTTTTATCTGAAGGGCATGGTCCGCAGCCTCTCCAGTTGGCAGTCCATGGCTGCAGGCATCGCCTCCACCCCGTCTGCCCCCAGGACTGTGTCTCCTGCCTCCTGGTCCTGAGGACCACAGGCACTTTGGTTTAGATGAGTAGAACTGGCTGATGCCACAGCTGAGCTCAAGGACCAGAGAGCTTTTCGTCTAGCACCATGGTGGTAGGTTGCTTGAGGCAAGAGGCTGGGGCAGCAATACAGCCTGGAGGAGAAGGGATGTCACAAGGAATTGAGAGACCAGAAGTGACCTTTGGAGACACCAGCAGAGGCTGGGTTATTTTTCTTTCACTGGGTTTTGCAGCCCCCAAAGTGCCCCCATCCTGGGGTGGGCAACACACTTCTGCTCGTGCTTGGAGATTTCCCACCTAGGGGGCTTGTGAGGGGAAGGGAAGGGGCTGGAGCTACCAGACCAGGAGGTGATGTCCTCACCAGGGGATGAGAGAGAGCAGCCCAGGGACCACCCACACCCATACAGAAGTCCCCTCACCCTCACCATGGGCCCCAGCAACATGAGGCTTAAGCAACTACACAGGCAGCTGCCACTAACAAATCCCTGCCTGGCGGGTGCCTGGCTTGCTGTGGTGTCCCACTGCTGCCACGGTGGGATCTCCCAAGGACCCCCTCTGGGCTGGAGAGGACCAAAGCAGCACCCTTTGCCCTTCGAGATGTTGCGCATTAGCTGGGGCTAACGAGCAGGGATGGACGCACCACAAAAACACACTGCTAACCACACAAGGCTCCCCAGATCAACCCTTTATTGCCTTGTTCCAGTACATTTCACACCAAAATCAGCACTACACAGCAGGCTGGGTGCGTACCCTTATCCAGCAGCCCATGAGATGAGTGGCAGGGCAGTGGAGGTCCGTGGGATCCCCTGTCCCCCTCGGCAGCACAGAGGGTTATGGCACATCCCTGCTGCAAAGTGCCCTTCCCAGCACAGGCACGGCACATGGTGGGTGTCACACCCGGCGGGTTACCCCCAGCAGCCAGGAGCATCCAGGGACCCTGCCATGATGCTCACCAAGGCACACAGGTATTTCCCCAGTGCTGCCCCATCATCACACTCCTGCTCACGAGAGGAGCTGGTCAGGCTCTCAGCTCTGCCAGCTAACGAGAAGACAGGGCAGCTACTGTCACAGGACGATGCACCCAGTCCCCTGCGTGTCCCTGACCCAGGAGATCACCAAGGGCTCTGCATTTCTGCCCCCCAAAAAGGCACCCAGGAAAAAGAGAGGCCGGAGGTTCCCTGAAAACTTGTCAGTGAAGGTGTAAATGTGGGAGCGGTCACTCACATTGTAAAAAGAGATTTCTCCTGCCTCATAGTCCAGGAACATCCCGATGCGCCGGGGTCTCACGCTCAGGGACAGCGGGGAGATGGGTGAGGTGAGAGCCTCGTAGTTGCCCCCGTTTTGCAGCCGCAGCACCCAGTAGCCGTTGTTTGGGGAGAAGAGGACGTTGCCTTTCCGGCTGGCAGACTCCTGGCACAGCCCCAGGCCCCACTCGGGCTTGTCTCCCACCTGCACCTCCCAGTAGCAGCGTCCTGAGAAGAAGACCTGACTCCCCAGCACCACCGGAGCGGTGTTGAACCTCTTGGGGCTGTCGAAGAGGGACAGAAGCAGCTTCTTGCTCCCACGCCGCACACTCTTGCGGTCCTCGGACAGGGTGAGCTCAGGGTGCGCTGTCTCGGGGTCCAGAGTCACATCCACTGGAGAGAGAGAAGGGTGGAAGGACAGACAGGGGCTTCAGGGGTCTGCACGTGCAGACACAAGTGGGTGCCTGCAACTCAGATGCCGGGCTCTTCCTGCTCTTCCTGCATCCTACATTTATTTGCTTGTGCCTGTCATTTTACACACCTCCCAGCGCTGCCTGGCAGCGGGGAAGTACAATACATAAACTCATGCTAACTATAAACCACATCAAAACATTTGGCATCTGGCTGCAGAGCAGGAACAGAATGAGGGTGGCTCATTGGGGAGGCGGGGGACACCAGAGCCAAAATGTGCCAGGAGCTGGCACAAAAGCAGGCCCTTTACCTTTGAACTTCTTCAGCATGTCCCTCATGCCCAGGCAGCGCTCAGGGATGCTGTAGTTTTCCTTCAGGGTCACGGACACAGCCTTGGGGGACTGGAACTTTACCTCCTCGCACCTGCAAGGAGAGCAACGCCCATGGGCTGCATCCAGAGCCCACAGCACAGCCAGTCTCATGCTGGGGGCAGGTTTAATGCCTTTCTCTTGGCTGCACAGATCCATCTCCTCCCTTGAGGAATTTGGCTGTGAAGAGCACTAGGGACAACCACTTGCTTATCAGCAAGCCTGATGGGACCAGAGCTAAAGGATGCAGGGAATGGCAGTGCCAGTCCCTGGGAAGGAAGGAGCAAGGTGAGCCAGGCAGCACGTCCCTTCGGAGGGGACACACCTCACACACCACAAGGCCAGGCAAGATCTTGACTCAGGCGCTGGAAAAAGAGGATAAAATCTCTTCTCCAGCCCCCGCTGGTCTCAGTCCCTCCTTTGTCAGCCCCAGGGATGACTAAACCAGACGCCGGCAGGGAGGACAAGGGCTGGTTGGCATGGACCAGACACAAACATCTCACTTAGAGCCTGGACGCAGCTAGGATGGTAGGAGGAATGAGCACAAGTACCTACCTGCTCAGGACACTCTTCATGTCCTAGAAGAAGAGAAAAGGCATTCTGGGTGTGGGGCTCCAGAGCCTCACACCCGCCAGCCAGCCTGGCCCCAGCCACCTGCCCACATGGCAAAGGCATCGGGGCTGAGCTAGTGGGGCTGGTGGCATAGCCTGACCTTGAGCAGCCCCTCAGCCGGCTGCTGGGTCTTCTCCTTTATCTCCAGGATCAGCTCCTCCAGCAAGGACTTCTGCTCCACCAGCCTGGCCAGGTTTTCATTGATCAGCAGCAGAATCCGCTTCTCCTCCTCCTCCAGCTTCTGGAGCAACAGCTTCTCCTCATCGGCCAGCAGCCGATGCAGCTTTCCAAACTCGCTCACAATCTTCTCCCGCTTTTTCCTCACTGTCTCCTTGCAATAAAAAGATACACAGTGTGGAGTGAGGCAACGTCAGCCAGGCAGCCAAGACAGAGCCGGATTCTCCGGCACCCACACCAGCATCAGGCCCTGGGAAACCATCGAATTCTTTTGATAAGTGCATTTATTTAAGAAAACAGCCAGAGGCTAACTGCTGTGCTTTCACCTCGCCTGAGTTCCCACTTCACACACATCCTCAGTTTACCAGCAGTAGGACTTTGCCCGAGGCATTTCTGCTCAACTGGACCTCAGATGTTTAATGATGTCTCGAGGGGCCTGGGGGGGCTGCTGGGCTGCAAGATGTCATCAGGTGTCAGGGTACATTTTTATTAGACATGGTACAACTCATCCCTCCAGCTAGATTCAGACTAATCCGCTGCTCAGACAGCCCAGAGGAAATGCTCCGTGTTTGGGAAAACCCACAGCAACAGGAAAGAGGTGGAAGAAGCCCTGGGGCTGGGGAGGTATGGAAAAGGGGAGCCAGGGAGGGCTCCCCAGGTGTCTGAGAGCTCTTACTACAGCAAAAAACAGGCAGGGACTGCCAATGCTTTAGGGCTTTTTGCCTGAGCCCTAAAAATTGGCACTTTGTTCAAAACCTGAAGCACCAGGAAAACACTCTGTGGTTAGCTAGGACCGTGAAACCTCAAAAATGCAGAAGATAAGCAAAAGGAAACTGAACTGCATTTATGTCCAAGCATGTGATTTCTTGGACCTGAGTCATGAAGGCTTGATAAGCCAGAACAGTCACAGACACTTCTCCCCAACCACTCGCAAGAGACATTTTCTCTTTTTTACTAAAAAATTGCAACCAGCTGCCGGGCCGGGAGGAAGCCAGAGGCTGCTGAGCCATGGCCCCGGAGCCCTGACTCAGGCCCGCGGGGGGAGAGTGACACAGCTCTTTCAAAACCTTCATCCCCAGCCCCATTCCAGTCCTGAGGGGGACAGAGGGCACGCAGGGACACCCCAAAAACCTGCCATCCACCTGGCCAGGCTGTGGTGGGCAGGCAGGGGAGCTCAGCAAATAACTAGAGGAGTCCAGAGTAACCTGTTTTCCCTGACAAAGCTGATTAATCATCAACTCCAGCTCAGGCCTGGGTAACTCGGTCCAGCAGTTTCCTTTTCTGCAGTTACTTTTACTTTCCAGCTTCCACCCCAGACAGACATGAAATGAAGCTGTTTTGCTGGCGTCATATCTCCCCAGGAACCGCCTGGAGTCAGGCAGAGGTGCAGTAATTCAGCTTTTCTTTTTTTTTAATGAAAACATTTCCAGTTGCTATTGCTGTGAAGCAGTATGTATGGCTCACGCCTGGCTTGTAACTCAGGCACACCTTGTAAAACAAAAGGCACATAACAAATATCCAGTGTGTGTTTGTTTAATATGCACGTAAGCTGCCATGGATTTGGTGGAGCTGGCGTGCTGCTCTTTGCAAAGCATTTCTTTGCAAAGCTTTTTAATCTTTTTATTGAGCCGCACACAGTCACTGAGCCTGGTTTCCAGCGCCAGTCCTCCATACAACAGCAGGACGCAGGGACACGTCCCATCCTGAGGGCTATTCCAAATTCACAGCTCTAGCTAAGATCACAACTGCTGATACATCTGAAGCGTATTCTTTCAGAATTAAGCCAGGCACCTGCCTTGCACTCCTGGGTTTTCATCCTTTCCACTGACTCACGCTTCTTCACATCCTCCGCTTCCTTCGAAAGATGCTCCAGGGATTGCTGGAGTTTGACCTGGAAAGAGAAGAAATGAGCTCAGCTTGCCCCAGCAGCAGCGGCCAAGCGCGGCAGCTCAGCCCCGGGGCCGCCGGTGCCAGCGGGCAGCCAGGGGACCGGGGATGGTGACCCCGCGCCAGGCAGTGCCAGCCCTGGCACCCGGACCCGGCAGCTGTGCCCTTCACTCTGCTCGCAGCATTAACCCTCTCCACGCTCCTCCTGTTTTCCCCGTATTTTTCTCACTGTTCAGGTTTTGGAGAATAAAGTGACGGCCCCCCCCACAATGCCGGGGTGTGGGGCGGCTGGTGGCGTGCTGCCGGGAGCGTCGCTGGGACTTGGGGTTTGGGTGCCCCCCTCCACCGAGGCAAAACGTCCCCAGGGCAGGACACCCCCTCCGCTTCTCCGGTGGGTCTCAGAGGAGCAGGGAGCCAGGCTGTGTCTGTGACTGACAGGGGTGAGCCTGGGTGCCTCCACAGTTTGGGAGCCAGTGGGTCCAGCCTCATCCCTTCAACGAGAGCGGCTGGGTGGGTGCCGCTGTCTCTGCCCCCCACCCCTCTGCTTTCCCAGCAGGGCTGTTGGGAGAGGGGCGGCGGGGGTCCTGGCAGCCGACCCCGCTGGTGCTGGTCTGCCCAGGGCGCATCAGGGCAAGACAGGGGGACCCCCAGCACCCCGACCTCCCCTACCTTGTACACCTGCGCCGCCTCCTCGATGGGGTAGACGGTGTGCGAGCGGTGGTGCAGCGACTCCCGGCACACCACGCAGATGGCCTCCTCTTCCTCCTCGCAGAAGAGCTTGAGGCGCTCTTCGTGCTGGGCACAGAGCGGGGTCCCTGGCCCCGGCGCCGGCCCTTGACCACCGCTCAGCCCCAGCTGCCGGATGCTCTCCACGATGTTGGCCAGCTGCCGGTTGGGTCGGAAGCCGCTGCGGTGGCAGGAGGCCCGGCACTGCGGGCAGGAGAAGGGCCCGTCGGCCCAGAGACCTTTCTCCTGGCAGTGCTTGGCGATGCAGCCCCGGCAGAAGTTGTGCCCGCAGTCGACGCTGACGGGCTCGCTCATGTACTCCAGGCAGATGGGGCAAATGGCTTCCTCCTGCAGCCGCTCCAGGGCACCGGCCAGGGCCATGGTGTGCTCCGCGGCCGGGCGGGCTCCCCGGGTGCTCCTTCTTCCCTCCTGGAGTCACTCCTTCCCTCCTGGAGTCACTCCTTCCCTCCCGGAGTCACTCCTTCCCTCCCTCCCGGAGTCACTCCTTCCTTCCCTCCCGGAGTCACTCCTTCCCTCCCGGAGTCACTCCTTCCCTCCCGGAGTCACTCCTCCTTCCCTCCCGGAGTCCTTCCCTCCCTCCCGGAGTCCTTCCCTCCCTCCCGGAGTCACTCCTTCCCTCCCGGAGTCACTCCTCCCTCCCTCCCGGAGTCACTCCTCCCTCCCTCCCGGAGTCCCTCCCGGAGTCACTCCGCCAAGGCAGGCTCAGCGGCTGCGGGACCCCAGGACCGGGCAGCACCGGCGGGGCCCCCGCAGCGGCCGGAGCAGCCGCCGGCCCCGGGGGGGGAGGAGCCGGCCGGGGCTGGGGCCGCTCCGGCCCCGGCGGGGCCAAGCGAAAGGGAAAACCCTGCCGGGAGAGTGGGACAAATCAGGAAGCGCCAGAAATAATCCGCGCCCGTAGATGACGCCGGGCACCGGGATGGCGGAGGAGGCGACGGCGGCCCCGGCGGTGGTGCCGAGCGGCTCAGCCCGGGGCTGCAGAGGGAGCGCGGTGACCCCGCCGAAAACCTCCCCCGCGACACCCACCCGCGGCCAGGAGCCACAGGCTTGGGTATCTACCGGGGCAGGGCTCGGGGCCCGGAGCCTGCCCGGATCCCTGCTCCGATCCCTGCCTGGATCCCTGCCCTTATCCCGGCCCAGATCCCTGCCCTTATCCCTGCCCGGATCCCTGCCCGAATCCCTGCTTGGAGCCTGCCCGGATCCCTGCCCTTATCCCTGCCTGGATCCCTGCCTGAATCCCTGCTTGGAGCCTGCCCAGATCCCTGCCCTTATCCCTGCCCGAATCCCTGCTTGGAGCCTGCCTGGATCCCTGCCCTTATCCCTGCCCAGATCCCTGCCTGAATCCCTGATTGGAGCCTGCCCGGATCCCTGCCCTTATCCCTGCCCGGATCCCTGCTTGGAGCCTGTCCAGATCCCTGCCCTTATCCCTGCCCAGATCCCTGCCCTTATCCCTGCCCGGATCCCTGCCCGAATCCCTGCTTGGAGCCTGCTCGGATCCCTGCCCGGATCCCTGCCCGGATCCCTGCCCGGATCCAGCAGAACAAGCACTGCACCACCGTGCTGGGGGATGTGCAGCACGGAGGGGCTGGGGGGCAGCTGGGGGTCACCCCGTCGCCCTGCAGACCCATCTAGTGCCAACCCCGCCCCCTCCTAGCCACCGCTGCCCACCACAGCCTCCGTGAAGCATCCCGAGAGCCCGCAGGAGAAGCTGCAGGTTTTGCTCCTTTTTATTACACAAAATAACTTCAACATCATGAGTACAAATTAGAATGAAAAGTTTCACTGAAAATGCCAAATAAATTAAAAATACCTTTGCGTAAATTTAAATAAAAGAGCTAAACACTGTATTAAATAGTCTGCCAAATTCACAGGCAATAAGAAAAAAGGGACATGTCTTGGAGGTGCCCATAAGAGAAGGTCCTCACGGAGGTGATGCTTGAAGGAAGCAGTCCATTGCTTGTCCGCTGCCTGCCTTGTCCTTCAGGTGATTCATGATATTCTTGACCCACTTTTCACCAGGTTTGGCACAGACCAATCTGCCTGTGACTGTGGTTAATCTGCAGAAGGAAAACCAGTTAAAGGAGCCTGGAGGCGAGGCAAGGCAAGGAGGACCCCCAGTTCCCTGCCACTGGTGAACCCCACCGAACCAGACACCTCTATAGCTGCAGAACAGCCCCTACAGAACAGCTGCAGAATAGGAAAATAAGAGGCGGGGGGTGGGAGGGGGGCAGGAGGGAAACTGGCTTAATGTTGTTACTGGTGTCTTGCTCTCTGCTGCATAAACCACTTGGTCCCCAGCATGCCTGCTCCAGCTGGGACACCGTCTTGCCTGGGTCCCGCTATCTGGGGATGAGGGGGGTGACCAGCAGAAGCTCTCTTGGCTCAAATCTAATAGGGAGGCCCAGAAACTGGTTTCCTGGGATGTGGGATTGGCCTCCGAGATGCTTCCAGGCCGTTCTCTTAACACTACAGAGCCCAGCCTGGTGTTTTCCCTTGCCAGGATGGGGTGAGATGTAGGGTCTCCTGGCACTGCCACCCTTCAGTGGAGCAGGGTCCCCAGGATTTGGACAGATCTACTCACATCACGGCTGGCGTGGCGCAGTGGCTGCCTGTGCACTCATACCTCACCACACGGCTCAGATGAAGTCCTTTGATGTAACTGACGCAGCAGGGACCAGAAACATTGACAGAAGCTGGAAGAGAAGTTAAGTTTTCTGATTAAACCAAACCAGGAAAAGCACTGTTGAGGAAAATAAGGGTCAGAAGATCAGGAGGTGCCCGCTGGAGGAGGTGCTGCTCCTACCATGGGCTCCCACCACAGCCATTCTTCCCCCAAGAAGCCAGAGAAGCAAGATGTGCCTCTCCTTTCCTGCAGCAGATGCTTGGAAGGGAGAACTGCCAAGCATTGCTAGACTTGTACAGCAGAAAGAAATAGGAGAGAGCTCCTCAGAGAGCAGAGCTTGGACTCACTTGGAGAAGAAGAGACCTGGTAGCAGAGAACAGCCACAAAAAATACAGCAAGGGCAGCTGTGGAGGTCTTCATGCTTCTGTTGTGTGGAGATAAATTGTAGGAGTCAGGCTAGACAGCTGCAGAGTGCCCTTGCTGTGCTTGATGCAGGATCCCTGGGGTCAGGTCACTTTATAGACAGAGACGGTGAACAAGGATGGAAACATGCCGGAAATATTGCTGAAAGACATGACACAATGGAAAAAGTGCTGTGTCAAGGATGCCGCAGAGTCCCGCATAGGGAAGTGCTCAGAGGCCCGAGGAGGGTAGTGCCTGATGTGGCATATTATATAATGGTATGATACCATGAAATGATAGAGAACAGGATATTACCTCTCTTTTCCTTTCCCCTGACCAAAGGACTTAATAGATAACCTAGAAGTAATGATTCAGAAGAGTAGTAGATGACCTCTTGCCTAGAAGTCACATGATGGCAACGGATGGAGGATGACCATAGCTGCCACGCACTTGTGTTTCCTAGAATATTTGCATCACAAACTGGGGACAATTCACTTTTCCCACAGCGACAGGAGCAGGGAGAGTCTGTGAGCCAGGCAGCCCTCCCCAGCTGCCCCCAAAGCAGGCCGGTGAGGCACGCAGCAGCCATGCCCTGCCCTGCTTGCAGCTCTGCCCCAAGGAGCCAGGGGTTTGCTCCACGGGACCCGGGCAGCCTTCAGTAAGTAAGCGTGCAGAGAAGAGGGTCGGTCACAGTGCCATTCCAGGGCTGGGCTCCTCTTCTGCCCCTGACCACCACTTACCGTGAGTCAATAGGAAACTGGTTCTGTTACTACATTGCAGTTTCACAAATACCGGTGGCAGCTAAAATAGCACTGTTATCCATGACCGTGAGAATCAGCCATTAACGTTTCCAAAGAGCTTTAGAAGCTCAAGACCGTGTTGGCACAGCAGAGTTGGCTTAGATGATAATTTGGTTCCATTAGTGTAGAATTGACACCCTCCTGACATTGCTTTGTCATTGCCCCCACAGCCACAGCCACATACAGAAGAGATTTACAGGTTTAGCTCATATTGTTTGAGACAGGAATGGCAGAAAAACTCCTGTTGGAAATGCCTCTGGAGAGCAGAGGTCTTCATGGTGCTAGTGAAAGTGTCTGGGCACTGGACAACCACAGCCACAGTGGGAAAGCCACATGAGCAGGCTGCCTTTCATGATGGTGTAGTGAAGAAAGGGATGTAGCTCCTCTGCAGAGGAGGATGATTACAAAATAGAAACCACTGCCCAAAGTGGTGGCCTTTCAGGAACCCAGAGGAATTAGAAGGCAAATGAAGAGATGCCCTGGACTGGCTGAAGGAGAGCTCATTCCAGGCCTGGGACTCCCAAGTGCTCCAGGGCATGATGCACACCACCATCACATCTCAGTAGATCCAGTTCTGAAAAAGTGAGCCAGACTTGTTAGAAAGCGTGGGCTAGGTGGCATTGCAGGATTTGTTTTACACAGAGCCTTTTGTTTCACTAAAACACTGCGTTACTAAGCATGAGCAAAACTGAGCCAGGGTGAGACCACATGTGGGCGTCTTGCTGCTGCAGAGGCAAGGAGCCTGCACAAGCCTGGAGAGCGGGCAGCTGGGGAGGGTCTGCCTGCAGATCCCTGGGGCCCCAGGGCACATGCTGCCAGTGGGGCTTTTGGAAAGATGCTTTTCCTTAGCAATGACAGGCATCTTCCATCACCCAGCAAGAAAGGAGCCTCTATTTAGCCCGCAACCTGCAGTTTCTCTGCAGAGATCGTGGCTCAGTCCCCAGCTTTGCCTTTGTGCCAGCAAAGGCCTTGACACATCTGTTCACTTCTCTGCATCTCTCTTTCCCTGCTGATGGGATTGATGCCATCCCAGCTCATGCTGAGGAGTTACACTCATAGAGAGTGAATCAAGACAGCCCAAATCAAGGCTGGGGCTTTAATCACCTGCAGCAAAGGACTCACTGTACCCTGATTTGAACAGCTGAGGATCTCGGGATTCATCGGGGATCCTGCCTGCTCTACAGTCCCCCTTGTCCTGTGCTCCAGAGTCCATTCAGATGCTAGAATGAAATCTTGCACCCGCAGGGCCACGAGATCCCACCAGCAATGTCCTGGACTGGATCCACTCACCTCCGCGCTGCACAGAGTGGGGCTAGGAAGATGCCAGCCTGCTGATGGTCCATCCCTCGAGTGATCAGGAGTTGCTCATCTTGCCTGAAGCATCCAGCTTAATCTAGTAGGGAGCCTCGGGAGAGTGGCTGTCCCAGGGAGCTGCCAGCATGGGGCCAGGTAGGCTGCAGCACACCTGGCACAAGATGTTAGAACCAGCAGCAGGGCCAGCCTGCAAGGAAGGTGTGTGCTGAGCCATGATCCCAAAGCCACAGCACCTCTGCACTCCCTCTGCCTCCTTGTTCCAGCTCTTCTTGCAACACGTGCCTATCTGTGCTGCCAGGACATCTGGGACAGATAGAACAGCTCCCCTCTATC